CCCCACCGCCCTCCCCGCCCGCGCCCGCCTGCAACCCCCTGCTGGACCTGGAGCTCGAGAGCTTCAAGAAGGACCCACGCCAGTCGCTCACGCCCACCCACGTCACCGTCACACGCCCGGTGAGCCGCGGGCACCGGCGGACGCCGTCGGATGGAGCGCTGGGCCACTGCGCGGCCGGTGAGTCGGGCCCCCAGCCACACGTGGTAGGGCTGAAGCTTGCTTGGCGACTGCTTCTGGGGCCAGGCCGGGTGTAGAGCGCTGTCACCCAACCCTCCCCGCGGGGAGGCGCTGTCTGCCCATTCAGAGAAGGCAGTGTCTGGGATCTCCGCCACTTCGTGTAACCCCAGCCCCGTGTAGGAGGGAGGATAAGATACTGACTCAAGAGCTGCACCCAGGACCCTGCTCCAGGTTGGGCTTGGTGACTTACCTCTGTAATCTCAGTTACCCGAGAGGCACAGTTTAAAGGCCCTCTGTCCAGCGTGAGACACTGGACAATAACTAAGGCAAAAAGGCGTCAAGTGGTAGAGAGCCTGCCTTGCCAACAGCACGCTTTGAGTTCAAATCCCAGTTCCGAAAAATGGAGGGAGGGGTGAATCCTGTCCTCCAAAGGTGTGTAGTCCTACCCAGAAGATGGAGCTGTTGGGTGTAGTGGGGACCTAGGTCGGGGTTCAGGTGTGGCCCCTGGGATGGGGGTCCACTGCTGGACAGTGGGACCAGCAAGATCCACAGAAGCCAGGAATTCCTCTTGTCCTTCCGACGTGCTGGCATGGACTCCCCTCCCCCACCCCCCTCACCTCGCGCCTTCCTCTCTCCCCAGGCCCTCGAGACCCCCTGGACTTCCCTCGCCTGCCCGACCCCCAGACCCTGTTCCCCACCCGACGCCGGCCCCCCGAGTTCCCTGGCCGTCCTACCACTCTGACTTTTGCCCCGAGACCCCGGCCAGCTGCCAGCCGCCCCCGCCTGGACCCCTGGAAACTGGTCTCTTTTGGCCGAACACTTGGTATCTCGCCTCCTAGCAGGCCAGACACTCCAGAGAGCCCTGGGCCCCCCAACATGCAGCCCACGCTGCTGGACATGGACATGGAGGGGCAGAGCCAGGACAGCACCGTGCCCCTGTGCGGGGCCTACGGCTCCCACTGAGGCCTGCCCGCCACCGCCCGCCCGGGCAGCCATGAATGTAGCGCCCCAGGCCCCGCGGCAGCCCGTCGCACCCTGGCGGGGAGAGGCCTGCGCAGGATACTCACTATTTATTGGGGAAGGGAGGAGGGGGGAGACACTTAATTTATTCCTTCGTACCCCAGGGGGGTGGAGCCCTGAGCCCACCCTGCCGTAGGGGGAGGGTCGGCAGGGATTCTCAGGGACGGCATCATGGGGGATTTGGCACAAAACACAGCATTAAAGGTAACCCCTGCCCCCGACCTCTTTCTGCTCTGTGTCTTTCTCCCACCCAGGTCCCGAAGCAGCCTTGACTCCAGGGGGCACTCTACACCCCACACTCCCTTTCCCAGTGTCTCTCCCAGCCGCAGGTTAGGGCTGAGAACCAGATCTGGGTCCCCACAAGAACACCACACAAAGTCATGGTCATCCGTGACAGGGCTTTACCGGCACCCCGCGCGCCGAGTGGGGGCAGCTACAGGGCGATGTGGGGAGCGGGGTGGAGAGGGCCACGCAGCCTCAGCCCACCACATCCCGGGCCGAGGCCCCGGCGCCGTGGCCGCTGTCTTCCCGCTGGAGGCCACAGCGGTTCATCTTCAGCTGGGTCAGCTGGATGTAGCGGAGCACGTTGGTGTCTGCAGGGCAGGTGGGCAGGGCGTTACCTGGCTCTCCCCGGGAGGGGAGGGGAGGGCGGGGTGGGGGGTGACAGCTACCCTCACCTCCCACTCCTGTCCAGCCCTTTCCCAGAATCCCAGTGGGGCAGATAGTTCCCGCCTCCCTGCCTCGGCAAGTGCTGTTCCCTTGCCAGCCACGCCCTTCCCGCTGGTGCTCCTCCCCGTGGCATCTGTTCTCACCACGCCACTTCCCAGGAAAACTCTTCTTGCCTCCACGCCCACGCCCCTGCAGCATGCACCTGCTGTGGCTCTCCCCCCCCCCCCAAGGCCGACACCTCCAGCTCTGCCACTCCCTACGCAGCCCAATTTCTCGGCCTCACCTGCCCTGGGTCAGTGAGTAGGCGCAAGTGTGAACGGGTAGCGTGTGAGGAGTGGGGGGGAGGGGGAGGAACAGGACTGGAGATCGCTCCTGGCTAGGGTTGCGGCCCGCTGGGGAAGGGGAGGTGTCAGGATGGCACAACGTCTGTCTAGGTGAGAAGAGGGAGGGGGGCTCTGCCCTGCCCTGAACCTCCTGCCTGCCTTCCCTCTCCCTGCCACCGCCCAACCCAGCCCTCACCCCTGCCCAGCTCTGGCCCTCACCTGTGGGCTCCCGGCTTCGGGCCTCCTGCAGGTAGCGCAGGGCGCGTGCGTAGTCGCCCAGGTGGTAGAAGGCGATGCCGGCGCGGTAGGTGGCCTTGAAGTTGCCCTGCTGCTTCTCCAGCACCTTCAGACAGTACTCGCGCACACGCTCGTAGTTCACCAGCTCCGACTGCAGCAGGCAGGCTGTGGGGGCCGGGGGGGGGTTCGTGGTGGTGAGCCCCGAACTCAGTGCCTGCAGCACCCCTGGAATCCACGTGACCTGGAAGTACCCAGCCTCTGCCCCCCAGCCAAGGACAGTGTGGGCCTCCAGGGGGCGCCAACCTGTTACCCCATCCGAGGACAGTCAAGCTGTGCCCAGCCAGGAGGCGCAGGAGACCCCGGGGAGGGGTGGGCGAGGCTGAGGGCGAGGGCATGTCCGGGGTGCGCCCTTGCCACCTTCCGTGTGCCCGAGGCAGGGGAGGGGAAGGATGACTCAGGGAAGTGGAGTTCTCAAGACTCAGCCCCAACCCCAGTTCCTGCACCCCTGTCTGCCCCCCATCCCTTTCCTTGATCAAGTTCTGAGGTCTGTCGCTTTAAGATTCCAGGTTCTCCACCCACCCAACACCTGACCCTGATCGCCCCCTGACGCCCCACCCTGTCCACGCATGCCCCCCCCCGACGCCCCCTGCCACCCGCCCCCCCGACGGCGGCCGTACCCGTCAGGGAGTCATAACACTCCACCTCGGTGCTCTCCACCAGGCGCCGCTGCTCCTCGCTGAGG